TGTGTTTCTTTATGCATTTAGATGTGTTTGCAATGGGTAAAATAAGCATTAAAAAAACAGCCAGGTGGAAACAAATCCCATCTAAGATTCAACACAAGGTTGTTACCAAACAAACAAATCAAAGCCAAGTTATCAAAGTCATCAATATTGGCTAGCTAACAGTTAACATGAAGCCCTTCACACACAGTTTGCATATTTTCCACAATTACAGTCGTGATTGCCCTCTTTTACTCTACTATGGACCTACACGTCTCAATGACAGATTTGGGGGAATTGATTGTAATGTCGGAAACAAAACGTCATGGACTGGTTCTCTTATACTACAGTATAATGTCATGGCATACCTTAAATCAATATGGTATGATGTGATTGATATCAGGATTGAAGTCATTTTAGCTTGTTGTCTTATCCTTTTTTCTAATTATATCTCTTTCAGATTTCTCCATCTGAGGACAACATATCTGAGTCTACAGTCATTCCCACTTCCCTGTATGGCTTTAGTACTGTTGTCCTTTTACTCAGATGGACAGGTGATGTTTCCAGCACAATCGTTATTAATATTATTATTATTTTTCATGTTTTGTACTGTGGCTGGCACATGTTTTAAATCAGGATATGTGTGACTTGAGAGATACTACAAAAGCAAATGGCGAAAAAGTAGAAAGAGATATCTGAGTTAAAAATGAACATAGTACAGGAGACATGTCACTCAGGTAGAGACTTGACCATCACAGTCAATGCAAATGATAAGTCCACTGTGCTGTGTTGTACTTAGTCAACAACGTTACTTCTGGTGTTACTCACTTCACATTATATAGCTCAATATTACAGTATTACATCTTTTTTTTCTCAATACAACAATAATAATAATCATGTGTGTTTATACTTATTGATCATCATTCATGTAAACATATTAAACCAGGTCATGCAAACAGTAGACCAAAACTTCTTCCACTAGAGGTGCACAGCACAGAGCAGGCGGAGCTCCCAGACTGAGATCCCTCTGACTCAGCGTGAGACGGGCCCCAGCCAGGACCACAGACTGACAGCCGGCTGGATAGTTCGAAACTCGTCAGGGACAGAACAGGGAGGATGAGCGAGACGTGAACATGATCTGTTTTCTTCCCCCTGCACAGTGGATTCTCTGCATCTTCACAGTTACTCTCCTTTGTCTAGAGAGGAAGGTAAGATTCACATCTTTTCACCAACTAACAGGGATCTCAGTTTGAGCCTCTGGTAACGAAACAGCCATAAAACAAAACAAAAGAAGTCTTCTTATTTGAAGTTTTCCCCCCCGACAGAAGCATGCACACACTCCAGGTCAGTCTTCACAAACCCAGTCTGAGCCAGAATATAGAGTCCACACCCCCAAGATGCACATATACCCCCCGACTTTCAAGTATCTCCTTTTCCAAAAAAGGTTTAAAACAAAAGGACCAGATACTTAAACACTTAATAATGAGTGAATAATGAATCATTTAACAAAATGAGGGAAAAAAAGTGACCAATAGAAGAAGTAGTACTGAAGAAGTACTGGGCAGGTAGAAGTGGAAGTGAAGACATGACGTGAGACCTGTTTTACTTAACAGCTGGACTGGGTGAGTGGCTGGACTGAGTCACATTGACGGGTAAAGTGAATAAAGACATGCAGGAGTAGCTTTCAGCCCTCTTTCCCTTTTTTAAAGTGTCCCCCTCTTCTTTGTGCCCTGTCTGGCCAGATATCTGGAGAGAGCTGACAGTAGTGTGACATGTAGCGTGTGTGTGTGTGTGTGTGTGTGT